GCTCCTGCCACTACAAAGCCTGCCTGCAAGGTTTACTTGAAGAACAGACAGAACAGAGAAAAGGAATATCCTTATTAAGACCAAACTCAACAATTATTGCTAAGGAAATAAATAAAAATCACAGAATGAAGAAGCAGTGGGTTTGTGTGTGGAGTAAATTCCAATGTAACAACTGATTTTGCATTAAAGAGACATAAAAGAGGGACTGAAATTTTGGGTATATATATACATAAAGCATTTTAAAATATGAAGGAACGAGTCCTGGGCTATTCTTCAATTTCTCTCTTCTGCTCCCCCAAAACTAAATGGCATTTTAAAGTGTTGAAGCATTTATTTTAGGTAAAATTAAATGAAAAAAGAGCACCAAAGACTGTTACAGTAACAAGTCCAACAATCAGAAAGCACGCACGTTAGAGGTGTGCCACTGCACTTACAAAACACCCTTTGTGCATACCCTGATGAGGGGTTTGCTACATTTTTTCCCACAGGCCATCATATTGACACAGTATCCAGTGGTCACAGGAAGAATCTGTCTCCTTTTGTCCTCACTCTTCAGTACATGAACCCTAGAAACATGAACTGAGCACACAGTTACTTTTTTTCTTTAGGTTTATTTTTAACTCCCCCAACAGGAGCCAGTGCAGTACCCACAATATTCCAACTAAGTCAAATGACAGCATTTTCCATCATTTACATCTAGAGAGGTTAAGGCCAGAAGAAAGTCTTCAAATGAGTTTGGTGTGCCTCATTTAAGATGTTAAATACTTGTGGAGATCTGGCACTCCTAACAACCCTTGACAGGTACATCGCTGCATTCCCAGTGATCTCTGTGTTCCAGCTGAGAACGATCAGCATTCCAAAGAAGTGAGATCTAAATTTTTATAACTGCTCTGTTCCTGCCCTGCCTGCTATCCCAGCCTCGCTCACTGTAGCTCTGAAGTTTCACATAGTCTGAAGCTGTGTGATAAGCAACCTGATAAGCAATTAATGACCAACAGCTGGGTGGGCTATAGCAGCCTGTTCTATTACACAGTTCACGTTGTGCAATTATCCAGTGCAGTGAGTGGGTTATAGCAACTTGTTCTCTTACACAGTTCACGTTGTGCAATTATCAGTACAGTGAGACCTAGCAGGAATGCCTGTGCAGAAGGGAACTGCAGTGGGATACACAGACATTACTTCTCATTTCCAAGCGCCTAACTTCTTGCTACTCTTTCAATCTAGCTTTTGAGAGTTTTTAGGGATTTTTTAAGGAAGTAAAATGCGAGAATAGAGAAATTCTGCTGTTCTATTGACACAGTACCAGCAAGCACTTCAGCAGGCACACTGAGATCAGTCCTAGCTTCTGGAGGGGAATACACTCCAGAAATATCCACAGCTTATTTTGTTAACATCCTGATCCTGTTTCCCTTGTCCATCCTTCTCATAGTTCCCATCCACACAATCCCTGCTCTCCTGTTCCTGTCCTGCACCACTTCAACCCCACATCTCAGCATCCAAGTGAAGCATGTTTCAGGCTCCAAGCTGGATACTTCACACTCTACTGCAGAACTGAAAACCCGGTAACTCCTTGCTACTGGGAGGACTGATGCGTGTCAGGAAGAGTGGAAATTTAGCTGCCAAAGAAACCTTTAACCTCATACCAGGATAGAGATCCAAAATTTTTGCCTCACTGCTGAAACAACAAACATATTTTGAAATCTTCAGTTCAAAAGAGATAGTTAACTTGTACACTGGAAACTTTCGATGCAAAAAAAACCCAAAACCGTTCTGGAGGACCTACAAACAGCCAGGTATCAGCTAATGAGGAATCAGCTAGGTTTAGGTACACCCTAACTGTAAATATGTAAAATGAATGTCACTGCTGTCATAATCCAAAGTGCACAAACATAAAATCATTAGACTCACATGATAAAAAACAAATCCCCCATTATCTTAACCAAACCCTACCTATGACCTCAGCCTGCATTTGAATCTTAGCAAATTTTTGCCACAGGAGAAAAAAAAAAAAAAAAAAGCTGGGACAGTGGCAGAAGGTGAGAATTAGGCTGTAGGAGAAAAAAGCATCATACCTGCACCTGTGCTTTCAGATGCACCTGTTCCAGCTCTCTGATACTGGCCAGGACCAGGGAGCTTGAGGAAATCCGTGACTCAGTTATCAGCTCCCAACAGTGATGTGAACTATCACAGCGTTACACAAAACTTCAGGAGTCACCAGGGTATTGACTACTGGCACCTGGCAATTAGAGGCCATATTTTAAAGAGCAGAAACCGATATATGTTGTCGCTGGGGCTCTTCATGAAAGTTCACGTAGTTCATACCCCTCCAACCGGGGGTGGATCCAGTCAAATGAATCCAAGCGCCAAAACGCAAGAGAAAGAGGAAGTGGAGCAGGACCACTTCTGTAAAGGTTCTCGACTGAGATACTGCCGGCAGCTGCTGGAAATGTGTGAGCTGCCTGCCACACGCTGCCACATGGCCCGGCTCCTGCACGCCAGGCCGGCCGGGCAGCCCCGCTTACTCTCCCGGCCACTTTCCCCCAGGACCACATCCTGGAGAAAGCCTTTTCCCACTTAAGCGCCACGTTTTTAACTCGATGCCGAACTCCAAGGAAGCCCACTTCTCCGAAGCCCCCCTCGCTCCCCTGCGGCCCTACCTGGTTGCCCAGCACAGCCACGGCGCAGGCGGTGGAGACCTCGGTGGGGCCGAACCAGACGGAGGCGATGCGGGAGGGCAGCCCCAGGATGAAGACCTGGGCGACGGCGCAGACGGCCTGGGCGGCCAGGGTGAGCGGGTAGCGCTGGGGGGCCAGGCTGCCGCACTTGAGCCAGGCGCCCACCGCGTTGAGCCCCGCGCCCAGCAGCGCCGTGAGGCGCAGCCCGCGGGCATCCAGCAGCCAGGTGGCCGGCAGGATCAGCGGCACGTAGGCCACCATGTACACCATGGACAGCCAGTCGATCTGCGTGAAGGAGACGCCGTAGAAGCCGGCGAAGACGTTGCTGAGGATGCTGTACTGGATCCATTGGAAGGCGTTCACCAGCGAGTAGCAGCTGAAAACGGCCAGCACCGCCAGCCGCCGCCGCGACAGCCGCGTCTCCAGCCGCACGCCGCCCGCCGACAGCATCTCCTCGGCCTCCGGGGCCGCCCGCTCCCCGCCGCCCGCCCGGCCGCCGCCCGCCGCCTCCTTGCCGGGCAGGAAGCCATTGCAGCGCTGCAGCGGGGCCGCGGCCGCCGGCGTCCCGCCGCTCTCCCCCTCCGCCTCCTCCTCGCCGCCGTCCTCCACCATCTCGGCCGTCTCCCCACCCAGCTTCCCCGGTGGCGGCGACGGGGGCAGCCCGGCTCTGCCCGCCAAGGTCACCTGGCTGTGCCTCCGCTCGCCGCCGCCCCGCCCCGGCAGCCGGCCCGGCGGGCGGAGCGGGAGGCGGCGCCGAGGGCGGGCGGGGCCGGACCCGGCAGCGCTGCTGCGGCCGCGGTGGGCTTGGTGAGCAGGGACTGCAGTCCGGGCTGCTGGGAAGTGTTGGGAGTGTGTGTATATGGATATACATAGAGATAGAGATGATAGAGATATAGATAAGGATAGAGATGGAGATAGTTGTTTTGTTCATACCTTTGCTCCCGTTTTCTCTGTCCATCTTTCTCGTGGTTCCTTATCTGCACAATCCCTGCACTCCTGCTCCTGTCCAGCTCCGCTTTAATCTCCACATCCCAATATCTGAGTGGTGTATGTGCACACACACAGAGACTCACACTTCTTTAAGTCTTTTAAACTGAACTTACAAAGGCTGTGTGACTTTTGCTGGCTGCATGAGAATGACTGGGCAATAGTAATGATGTAAATAATCCCCACAACATCTCCAAGGAAGGATCGGCATCACCTCCTTCCTGTAACCTTTTTGGCGGCTGGTGTGTCTGGCCCAGGCAAGGTTGGGTGGGCACAAACTGGTGCTTTGTGGCTTATCCCTCAGCCCTCTTCCTGGGCACAGGCAGGGCACCTCGGCTGCTGCACCATCTGTGCCAGGGACACACAGGCCACACCACTTCCAGCACATCCTGGGAAAATCCAGCACCTTCCCCTGCCATATTATGATTTGTCTCTTTACAGTGGTGATGCAGAGAAATGTACTGAAGTGATAAGAGATGGATGGGCAGAGACAGAGGCTAAAATTGCAGCAGAGGGTGGCCACTACACAGCATAATCAGGGCGTGTGCATCTACCCCAGTCCTTCATTGCCTCCACAGCCGCAGGCAAAACATTCCTTGTTTCCACTCAACCTCTGAAATTTGATTTGACACATACCCCAGAAAACTGGCTGTCTGGCTCATGTGCAGAGGCGGGTAGATATCACTTCAGTAAGCAATCTTCCTCCAAATCCTGCCCGGTTCATGTCTGCACAGGAGCAGTGGCTGGTAGCCCGTGTTACTGTTTGTAATTCTGCTGCAGGCATAATAAAGAGACAGATTATTCTCTAAAATGTAACAAGAAAATACAGAAATATTTAAGTTTGCTAACAACGTTAATAGTATTTTACTGTTTTCTGTGGGAAATCGTTTGGAACATGTTCAGCAAATAACACACTGCACATTGTTCATGGGTATGTCAGAGCCTAATCAGATCTGTCTGGGCTGTGGATACACTCAGCAACCAGTCTTAAGTACCTTCACTAATTAGGAGCTGGTATTTTACTCAAGACCAGTTGACCTATGTAAGCCACAGCTCCTGATCTTATTTAGAGTAAGGAAAATAATATGGACACATGCTTCAAACTATTAATTTGGCTATGTGTGCTTTCCCTGAGCACTTAGCTGAGCAACAGTAGCAATGACTGCAGGCACCATGGAATTTTAGAGACTACTGCAAGTAGTCCTGAATTTGCAGGACAGAGGTGTGTGCAAGAAATCTGCTGTTTAAAATTAAAGTTACTTGTGTCAGATTCAGGCCCTTCTTGCCTCTTTTATTCATGCCAAAAAGAAAGCCTGGTTTGTTTTTAGTTTTCCTCTGTAAGATCAGATGCTTGGTAAATTTCTCTCAGTTTCTCTATCTGACTTGTTCGAAGTATTGTAGCAATGGATCTTTTTTTTAAAAACAGGACCTCAAGAGGAAGAAGTATAGTGGGAACTGAAACAAACATTATCAAAGCAACAGAATAACTGGCTTTGACTTTAGGAATGTATATCCATATTACACATTGTGTGCTGAAAACACAGCTGAGACTCTGTCTGTGCCAGTGCTTGCAGCAGTGGCCCTTCATAATCTCTGGCACAGGCTGTGGGTTGCCCTTGGCATCAGGGAAAGGGCTGTGACACTTTGGCTGGTGGAATAGATGCATTAGCGTCCTAAATTATTCTTGTTCTTTTGGAATAAGGTACAAACACTGATCTACATCTGATTTCATTTAACATATTTTCCCCTCGAAATCTGGATGATCTCAAAGTCCATCCAAAGACAGCATTTACTCCTTAAAACCAGATGAAAACAGGTTCTGTTCTCCCGTTCTTCCTTTCCGTACTGTTGCACCCTTGCCTGCTTCCAGCTGCTGCCAGCTAACAACCTCAGAGAACGGTCCAAACTCGTCCTGTGCTGAGAATGGCTGGCACATCTTGGGTTTCACCGCCGCCGTGCCCACAGAGCATCATCTGTCCTCCCTCTCCACCCAATGGTTCGGCACACTCAGTGTCATGTGCTTCCTGCACGGAAGCAGTAATGAGACACCAGGGAACTGCAGAGAAAAGGAAAGAGGCCGTGGATGCAAGCGAACTCCGAGAAGGAAACTTCTCCCAGAAAGAAGCAAGTTTATTTACAGCAGATCGACGCAGAGGCAAATCCATCTTTGCTATGCTGCGCTGGTCTCAGTGACATCAAACCCGTTTGATTCTGGGGAGGTACAACCAAGGCGTTTCCATCCTGGGGACATTTATCTCCAGAAGCACCTTCCTAAAAAAGAAAGAAAAAGGCAAACTAAATTTACAACATGATGGCAAAGCTTTGATATTTATTTATCCTGCTGTATTTCATAGGTTTCACGAGCATTACTTCTGATTTATAGCCAAAAAGCAGGGCCAAGGACAAAGTTGCCCAGCAAGAGAAAGTTACCCAAGGAGAAACATCCATTGTAGCAGTTCACTTAAAATGTGAGTCCCTGGATTTCTACATTTCATGGACAATTTATAAATCTAAAAACAGAACACTGATATCAAGGTTTACAGCACAGTTTAGCTTAAATTTTTTATATTTTAAATTTACCCTCTAAATGAACATTTAGGCTCTCCTGAATACTCCTATTGGTGATAGAGCCAGAAATTTCTCATGTATACCCCAAGCATTTACAAAGTTATTTTCCTGAATGCTCTGAAAAGGACAAAATACCTCTTATGTATCAGACATTCACTGGGAAATAAGTGATACAAATTTACTCCACAAAAATTATTTTCTTGTATCCAAATTCCAGAAGTCAGGCAGGCACCTAACACTTACATTTTTGGGCTGGAGAAGGTTAAAAAGCAATTAGAAATGCCAAATCCTTACTTGCAGTAGTGTTTTTGTTCCTTCTGTTAGCATATGTGCCATTGAAAGAAGAGTGTGTCTTCACAATTATTTTGAAACTAAAAATTCACCTTGCAGCTACTGCATGTTTGTACAAAAAATGGCTCAGAAGGAGCCTTTTTAATTCAATCCAAGGCATTTAACAAAATACAGAAAACTCAGGTGTAGAGTGTTGCTTTCAGGGTGTTACTAGCTTTTGGACACCCCTAGCTGGGTTATCTCAGTCATATCAATTCCTAGTTATGTCCTCCTTCCAAACCTCAAAAAACCTAGAAATTTTATGTACATCAGACACACTCAGTGAAGATTTCCAGATCTTCTGGTTTTAATGGTTCAAACCATGTATCTCAGTCTGCAAGGCAAAAAAACCCCAAAACCAACAAACTTTATTTTACAATGTATTTGTATCTTGGTTATGATTGTCAATGCAAAAGCTGATCTCTCCATGCAAAGAAAACCTACATGACAGGAGTGCACCAGGTCCTTGTCTCCCAGATGAGTTGTTTAAAAAAGAAAACCACAGCAGCTCAAGAAAGGGATTTCAGAACAAAAGATCTGAAGTTCCAACTGAGCTAGAAATGAAATATTTTAGCTGGATATTAAACAAACCTCAATAAGTTGGACTTGAAATAAAGTAGTTGGAGAGTCACACGTCTAAATATCTAGGTGGAAAGCTCAGAGAGAATACAGGGGAAAACATAAACATCCTTTTCCTCCTATGCAGTCCTCATTGCAGCTACATTTGTCCAGTCTCCCCACAAGATAAAGCCAGAACCCTCAACTGAAGAAAAAGCTTTTGCGACCCAGGGCACTTGCCTGAAAATTGTACCTCCAGGAGGTTGCCTGGCCACGCCAATTTGGGAATGTGACTGCCCACAGTAGGCATGTTTGCTAATGACCTGGGTTCAATTTTTGGTGTACTGACAAGAATATATATAAATGCAGAGAAAAGTTCTGAATTTTAAAATATGGGTAATTAACTTCTCTACTGTAAACAACAGAAATTTGTGCTCCTGAGTGTCTCGATCTGTACAAAAGATGAAGAAATATACATCTGGTACTTCTGCTTTGCTGCCATCTGCTTTTATTTTTGTAGCTAGCTATCATTCATATATGTAATGGAATTTTACCCCTGAGTTTCCTAGCAAAGCAACAGAGGAAAAACGACTGACCCAAAACAAATTTCTGATACAAAAAAATAATCATGTCAACAAATATAGTTGCAAAATTTATTGGGTTCTTATTCTCCAAGATTAACAGGCTCTTCATATATTACAAAAAATGTAACTTCCATTTGAATCCTTTATGCACAGTAAGAAAAGAGAAAGCCCACAAAAAAATTTTAAAAAAAAGAAGCATGATCTGTAGACGGGTTGTCTTAGACCTTGCAGTGAATGATCAGCACTTGTTCTTGTTCACTGCAAGGTTATTAAATTTGGGGAAAGGCTTGGAGGCATTTTCAGTGTTACATCACAGATTCCCTCCACTGATACACAGCACAGCAATGTTCTGTCAGGCAATCCTGATGTCTTGGGTTCATTTCCTTACTAAAAAGATAACCAAAAAAGCTGACAAGTGACATCAGCCTGGACCATCAGAGGGCTGTGGAACAGGAGGGATTGGAGAAGCTGTGCGGATGCAGCCAGATGCATCTATGTGTGTGTTCCCCCACAGCCCGAGGAACTGCTGGGCTGCAGTTCATCCCACCCCAAACAGCACACCTGGGAGATGTGGCAGGATTCCACTAACACACTCCACTTAGCAACTCAACTTACAAGAATTCAGTAATGTGGGAGTTTTCTCTGTTGTCTGCAGCAGGACAACAAGTGACTAAGTCAGAGGTAGCCTTCTGTGGATGCAGAATGTCCACTTCGTGCTCCTGCTCCCTGCCCATCTGCATAGGAATGGTGAGCAATCAGCTGGTGAAACCACTTTTCAGAGCAACAACAAAATCTTCACTTCTAAGATGTCTCAGAGTTACAAAAAAAAAAGCACTATGCTCTTGAAAACACATGGTGTAGCTCTCCTTCACTGCACTTTACCTGTCTGGTTCATGCACACAGATCCTTTGAAAATTAAATGGAAGGGACATGTGATTTTGGAGCCACTAAGAGCCACTAAAATGTGTTTTAGAGACAGATTGCTCAACCAAGCTTGAGAAACATTGCTACTTTTACTGTTGAGGAAAACCAAATATTTTGTAACAGCTTGAAGTTCCCAATTTGTCTCTGAAGAGGTTATCAGCAGGAAGAGAGCCTTTAAAGGCCTACATGCATTAGATGGGGAAGATGCTGGCTGACCTCAGTTTAACTAAAAATCAGCAGGATTTTTTTTTGTTGTTGTTGTTTAGACTGAGTAACAATAAAAGATTTCTGCCCAGGACCCTGGCTGTGAGAGTACATTATGGAAAATGCATTGGCATTCCAATAGCATTAATCATTCTAACAGGAAGTCAGACAGACACCAGAGACTCTCCTTGTGGCAGCTCCTGTGTTGGGAAAGTACTCCAGGAGTTCTCCAAAGACTGTTTTGAACAGTAGTCTTTTGCATCACTGTTACAAGATATAAACTATTTCAGATTAGCTGCAAACCCAGAATCTTTCACAGAAAATTCCCTCTCTTTTATTGTCAGGGGAGACAAACTTAGTGCCCATATCAACCAATGGACAGTGGGCAGGTCCTGTGCCAGGACAACCCCAAAGCGTGTAGACCTTTTTGCATGTGAGTGACAACATCTACTTCACCCAGATGTTTAGAGACCTTGGCCTTCTGCTCCCACCTCCAGCCTGCACACTGTCCAGCTCAGCACCACGCCCAGCTCCTGGTGGCACCACAGGGAATGGAGGGCACTCAGCACCTCCAGCAGTCACCCAGCTCCTGACATCCCTGAGGTGTCCCCAGGTGCATTCATCAGTGGGTTTCACTGGAGCAGCAGTCATATGGTATCAGCCCAACAGCTGTAGTGTCCACCTAAAAATCGTTTATCTGTCTTGTGAGTACCCTGCGGCTCTTAAATATAGAATGACAGAATTTATTTTGGAAAAGACCTTTAAGATGATCAAGTCCCACTGTTAACCCAGCACAGCCAAGTGCACTACTAAACCAAGTCCCTTAGTGCCACATCTACATGTCTTTTAAATACCTCCAGCAATGGTGACTCCAGCACTTCTCTGAGCTGCCTGTTCCAGCACTCAAAAACCTTTTCAGTGAAGAAGTTTTTCTTAATATCCAATCTAAACCTCCCCTGGTGTAACTTGAGGCCATTTATTCTTATCTGCACCAGTGCAGAACATGAGAGAATGGCCCATGAGAAGCACTCTCACTACAGCAATCCATACAGCAACATGCAAAATACATCCCAGCTCAGCCAGAATGGCATTCAGACTGTTTAAGCCTTTGGAGATAATACTACAATTCCAATGTACTGCAAACACAGGCTGAACAGAGTATTTGTGTCCCTTAAGACCTCAGACAGTACCAACAGTTCATAGCTTTTAGAAACCTTAGGAGGGGAATGAAGTGGAAATAACTTGGGTCCTGGGAATAACTGTGCTTTGAGGGCTCTCTCCTCTCTGCTGACTGTGCAGCAACCTCGGGAGCTGTGCACAGGACAAAGGTGATGTTGGATGCCAGAAAGCAGACTCGGAGAGCTGCTGAGAGGCACAGGGCAGTTTCACACGCTGGCAAAAGACCATCACAGCCATGAGCTGACTGGCAGCTTCAGAGTACCATGCTCAGAGAGATCCTGCATCCCTCCTGCCAGCCTAAGTGAAGGGACAGGGAGAGCTCTGTCTAACCTCCCTTTACCCAGGCAGATTTGGCAGTCTTGGTGACTCTCCTGCCAGCTCAGCTACTCCCAGGATAAATGTCAGTGCTGGAAGCAAAAGTTCTTGTTCCTCTTCCTCAGACCAGAGGAAGGTGATAGAGCAGCCAGAGCCTGGGACAAGAACAGAGCTGGGTGATGTTGGGATGAACAGTGGTGAAGGTAGAGCTCCCACTGCTCCCTGACAAGAGGTGGGCTTGGCAGAGGCTGTATTTTTTGAGGAACTGAAGATACCTAGATGTTTGGAAAATTTTATTTATTTACAAACACCAAACTGTTTCGCTGAGAATGTCATACTGAGCTTTCCCTTTAGAAGTGTGGAAATGTTTTTTTTTATGTGGGGAATACTGAAAAATAAATGTGCCTCTAGTTTCAAGACGGACAGGTTTTTTTTCAAAACAACAGCCTATAGGAGGCTTAGCTTCAAACTGCTATGTGACTTCTCTTTCTCATTGTGTTTTTTTTTTTGGGTTTTTTTTTGTTTGTTTGTTTGTTTGTTTGTTTGTTTTTTCCCTAATATCAAAAAAACCCAGTGTCTCATTATCACTCCAAAGGGAAACATGGGCAT